CTGTGCGCTACCGAGATCGCCATGGAGCTATCACCCAGAACGTCCTGGCGGCGTGTGATTTTGACCTCCGATTCACCTACATAATGCCTGGATACGAAGGAACGGCTGCGGATGGACGCCTTTTCGATACTGCGCGTCGCAACGGGTTTGCGCTACCCCCCTATCGTTATTATCTCGGTGACGCAGGATTCCCTAATTGCGACCTCATTCTTGCCCCGTTCATCGGTACGCGCTATCACCTGAAGGAGTGGGACAGCAGCGGGTGCGAACCAGAGACGCCAGAGGAGCTGTACAACCTTCGGCACTCGCAACTTCGCAACGTAATTGAGCGAATATTTGGTGTTGCAAAGCGGCAGTTCCCCATTCTCATCTCTTCCCCCGAGTGCTCATACGATGTCCAGGCAAAGATTGTGGCGGCGGCAGGAGCTCTGCACAATTTTCTTTGCATCCACGACCAGCTCAACTCGTTTGCTGCCGAAATTAACAATCAAGAGGAGTATGATCCCGACGCCCACCCATTTCTTGTCGGCGCAGTCATTCCGGAGGCTCACGTACTTGCAATCACGGAGGAGGAGACCCAGAGAGCAAACGCGCGGCGGGAGGGGATCATGATGAGCATGTGGGTTCAATACATTGCAGAACGTGACGAGTAGTACATGATATAACAACGATACAGCTGAATACAGAGAATGCAAAGAATGCGAGTGGGTCCCGGACGATCACAATGAGCAGCGAAATGACAACTAGACCCAATTGAATGGCACCTCCATCTCCTTCTCGGTCAACACGCGCTTCAGCAAGGCGATGCGCTGGATGCGGTTTGTGGTTCTGATGAAGACACGTGCGCGCATCTTGTTGGTGCTCAATGCATCCAAGAACAGGGCGTAGTATTCACCGTCGGGATCATGGGGGAGGAGGGTGGGGTCGTCGTTAAAGGCATCGACAATTGCGTCGACATGCGAGGTGTCGGCCTTGGTGATGATTGGTGCAGACATGCTCTGGCCGATTAACTTCAGACCGCGCGCGATCTCGCTCCCTGTTTCAGCGTTGCGGGACACATGACGCCCGCCTGAGCTCGAGGTGGCCGAGGCCGAACGGTCGCGGTTGTGTGCACCAGCCTTTGTCTTCGGCTGGTCGCTGTTCTCACTCTCTTCTTCATTGCCGAGGGCATCAGGGAGGCGGCGGCGTTTGGCGGCGGGGGGAAGGAGTTCGTCATCGTAAGGCTTGGGGGAAGGGGGTTGGTTGGGAACAGAGTCCAAATCTACGTCGATGGCGTCGTTCTGGAGGTTTTCGAAAGGCTGGCGGGGTCCTTTGCGCTTCTGGGGGGACGACGACGAGGGAGCAGCAGCGGAAGCGGAGGCAGAGGCAGAGGCAGAGGCAGAAGCAGAGGCGGATGCGGATGTGGATGCGGAGGACGACTGGCTTTTCTTTGATTTCGACTTTGAGAGATGAAGGACGTTGTCACCGGTGGCCCTGTTGCCGCCGAACAGCTGTGCGAGGCGATTGTAGTATGGGCAAGGTCTTTTGAAGCATTTCAGATACTTGTCTCCGTATTCCTACGTCCCATTAGCTCAGAATTGGAGGCCAGATTCAGCTGCACGCACCGCGGTGAACTTCTTCACAAAATCCGTCTCGGCAGTAGCTTTCTTCTGCCCGTCGTCCCATCCGACTCCGCTCTTTCCGCGTACGAATTCATACTCTTCAAATATGCCTTTTATCTGAGGAGGATTAGTGTGAAGCAGTGAACGAAGAGACACTAATCACGTAGCGCATTCGGTTCCCGACATTGTCAGTCGTGCGTTTGGGGCGCGTTGGGAATCGTGTCGTGAGAGCGGCAGAGATTGCAGTGTAGGCTTTGGCCCTGAATCCGTTGCCGCTCAGGTACTTGGTTGTATCGCTTTGAAGAACATCCAGCGCGTAGTTGGTTTCGAGTTCCGTGAAAGCGCTTGAGGCATTCTCGGGGATTTCTGGGACGGCGTCGTCGTTGGCAGAGTCAGCAGAGAGGGGTCAGGGGGTCAGGATGAGAGGCCATGCTGTGGAAGTAGCTGGGGAGTGGGTGGTGGCCGCCAGCAGCAGTCGAGGGAAGCGAAGACGAAGCGAGAAGACGATGCGTGACTGAAGCGTTACAAGAATTCCGGATTCAGGCGTGAATTAACGGTTGCCGATCAGGCCCTAAATGCAAAAGGAAAGTCAGGGTTCCAGTTCTCATTTTTTTTGTAGTCCAATTCATTGTGTTTCAAACACATTTCAGTCTAGTCTCAAACAAATCCTATCCCTCTAATCACTGTGTTCCCTGAGGTTCTACACCTAACCTGTGTGTAGGATTCCTACACAGACCTACACGGACCTACACACAGAGCTGTGTATAGTCACACTACACACATTGTTTTTAGGTCTATGTAGGTATTTGGGGGTAACTGTAGGTCCGTGCAGGTCAGTGCAGGTATGTGTAGGTCTGCGTAGCGACCTACGTTAACCTGGACTAACCTGGACATGTCCGGTTTAATCCTGAATCAATACTACAATTCCTCCTGGTGGACATTGAGCTCAACCAGCATCAACATTAAACCCCTTGGTGCCCCTGACAATTAATAATCCTCGCCAATATTGGCCAGGAAACACTTCCCAGTGCTCATGTCTGCGATATAGGTTTGGCAGCTAACTGGTCATCTTTCAATCTGTTCTCTAAAAAATTGGATCCAGTCGGCATGAAGGTTGGTGCTAGCCGCATCGTGGCCTGCATTGGTCTGGGATGGGCCAAGGGACTGACCAAATCCTCTGGGAAAGTAAGCTGATCCGATGGCGACCCCGATACATTGGCGAATACGGGTGTTAAAACAATGGAAATGGGTGAGGATTGGGCGATGAAGATGGGGGAATGAGAGCAAGGTGAAGGCGAGTGGCTCTCCATCCCTTATCCTGTCGACCCTGGCGCGAAACAAAGCTTAAAGCTGATGCTCTTAAAATAGCATTGATGCGCTCTGGGGCTGAAATATGCCCCGTACAGTGAATACACCGTGAAACAATCTGGAGGATAGAATCAAGGCAGTTAATATGTGCTTAAATGTAGGTCAGTGTAGCTGAGTTTAGCCAAGTGTAGGTGTGGCTATGACTTCTAGGCACACCTACGCTGATCTACGCTGATCTACGCTGATCTATAACAAGGTGTGTTTAGGGAAACTACACAGACCAGGCTACAGCACAGCTGCTAGAACCTTCGAAGATATTAGACTAGCTGTGTGTAGTCGTCCTACACAGGGCCTGTGTAGTCCCCTATGCTCAGCTAGCAGCAGCTGCTAGAACCTTTGCAAACTGAGTATAGGAGCGGCCGGAACGCAGTGAATAAAGGTTACAAAATCGGCGGGACTTAGACTACTGGAAAAAAATTACATTTCAAGCTGCCTTTTGTGCAACTCGATACTAGCCGGGCGTTCGATTAGCACCTCGGCTGTGCCTATATTTGGCAATAACCGGTGTGAGTTAAATGACGTAAGGTATTCCCACGGCACTCATTATTTCTCTCCGAAATCACAAGGGGGTGCCGTTCCGTGAATGCCCGGTCCGGTAGCCAGTTGGTTGGTTGACCCGGTGGGGCTAATTTTTCTTTTCTGGGAACCTGTTTTTGGGGGTGGAAACCATCCTGGCAGATGCTTTTGAGCTACTATATTACTCCAAAACACTCTAAACCGACACTGGATGCAATCCGAGCCCAGCCTGTGCCAATTAACGCATTTGGACGAGCTTACGCGCCTAGGTCTTCGTAAGCTTCAAATCACATATCCGAATGCCGCAGACTTCTCTGCAGTTCTCTGCTTGTGGGATCCATGAGTTCCCCCATGAACAAAGAAAATGACACCTCCAGGACAGCTCTCGACTGGGGCTGGATGACCGAAGCGCCGCTGGGCTGAGGCTCGGTAATAGAATACTAAAAGGCCTCGGAGAAAAATTCTGCATTTTCTTGTTATGATTGGCTTATCATTGTATCCGAATTTCATGATTATTTCTATCGCAGCGCACACCGAGTACAATTTTGCCTTTCGGCCGAGGATGGAAAACACGTGACAAAATCCCTTATGGAGACATTACGTGTTCGGTTGGTTCCCCTCCCGACCCAAAACGGGACCGGTTCCTTGATTCACAAACACACCGACGATTATCATATTTAGGGCCCACCCAGGTGCAATTTGAACACCCAAGTGTCGAATTGCACATAGGTGGAGCTGAAATTTAATTTACTTCTAGTACTTTTGGTCCCACTGATTTTGTAACCTAAAATAATAGAATAAAATTATAATTCGGCTGCCCTGAAACCCATTTGAAAGCCTACGATTTAGATTACACAAAAGTCCAACTGAGATTGAAAACCGAAATCACACTGATGATTATCATATTTTGGGTGACCTGAAACTTTATTCGAAACTAATCCGAGAAATTTCCCATTGGTTCGGCATTTCCCGGACCAATGGGAAAATTTGCGGACTTGTTTCGAATAAAGTTTCAGCTCACCCAAAATATGATAATTGTTGGTGTGATTTTGGTTTTCAATTTCGGTTGGACTTTTGTGTAATCTAAATCGTAGGCTTTCAAATGGGTTTCAGGGCAGCCGAATCATAATTTTATTCTATTACTTTAGGTTACAAAATCAGTGGGACCAAAAGTACTAGAAGTAAATTAAATTTCAGGTCCACCTATGTGCAATTCGACACTTGGGTGTTCAAATTGCACCTGGGTGGGCCCTAAATATGATAATCGTCGGTGTGAAAACGGCACCCCCTTGCGAAATCATTCTTGCCGTGAATAGGATGGTCAACGGAGGGTGTCTGGCTGGGGCGGCCATGTGCAGCCTGTGCAGGATGATCGCCATTACACACCGACTTGAAAATGATCATTCTCGTGGACCCGGCAGGAGTCCGAAATCGTTATCGTAGGAATCCATCAGCGTTGCATGTGCCAGTCACATCCAGCGGGCAGCTAATTTGGTGTGTCGTTTCTACTGCCATGCCCGCTTGGCCCAGTGGTAAGGCGTCTCACTCGTATGTTTCCAGCCGCACGGCTGCTTACATAATCATGAGAAGATCAGTTGTTCGAGTCAGCTAGTGGGCAAATCTTTTTAATCTTAACTTAAGATCAGTTGTTCAAGCTAGCTAGTGGGCAATTATTTTGCTGTTAGCAGCTTCTAGCCGCTAGTGATCCTTATGTTTTGTATTTCACACGATAGAGCGTGTGATTCTGCATGGAATCCCTCAAAACATCTCCCAAATCCAATTACATGATGCTGCGAAAAACACATTTCACTTTGACAAGTGTCCGCGGGAAAATAATAGTATGTACTATAGCATAGAAAAATATTTTAAATGATCGAACCCTCTCCAGAGATAGAGAGGCGGATTCTGATCAAGGAAAGTCGCCAATCGAATAACAGGATACTGTAGAGTGTATTTATTTCTGTACTTGTAAACACCAGATCGGGTCCCGGGAAACTTTTTTTAGGGGAAATAATCCCAGCATCGCCGAAGCCAACGAAATTGCCTCTCTACTAGGTAGTAGTAGTGAAGCCGTTGTCGGTTGAGTTAGTGGTCTTTATTCCTCGTGGTCTCTTTCTACTTTATTGTTTTTTGGACACATACCCCGCCGCCTTCAGTAGGAGACGTTGTCTTCGTCCGCTCCTCCTAGGCCTCATCCTTCTCCGTGCACTGTATTATTTTTCAGGGGGAATCACATTCGGGACAGGGAACAGCATCGATAATGCTTACATCGAGCGGTCTTCATTCAGGCGCGGCTAGTCGCATACTGCGGGACCTCGGAAACCCCAGCATGTATTCAGCTGAACGCAAACCAATTAGGAATAGACTACCGGCAGGAGAGAAATGAGTCGACGGACCTGAAGTCTGCAGGTGACGCCGCGGGCATGCATCTCCGCTCGCGTATGAAATTGCGATAGCAAACGAAAGTTTACCAGGCGTGAGGTGCACGAGGCTCAAGAGATTGAGGTGATTATCGAGCAATCGTGCACTCTCTCAGCTGTTCGCCGTCGTCGCGTAGCATCGGTACCTTGGATTCCTGGAATTCATCAAGAAATAAGAGAGGGCGCTGGGAATATACAGCGATAGGGGTAATGCAGCATGCACGGGCCACAATTGACAGGGGGTACCCCTCCGCGGATGGGGTCGCCGGCTCCGCGAGGGCAGGCTGCACACAAGGATAGCCAAGAAGATCAGAAAAATGTATGAAAGCTAGGCGCTGTTTTCGTCAGATGAAAGCCCACACCGCGCACAAAGATATGTAGCTGACTTCGGAGCCGCCGCCACCGAAAGGGACCGAACTTGGCTGTCATCAGCGGATAATTTCAAGAGTTTTAAAAACAGGCTTCAAACGAGTCTGCGTGTGAAGCCAAATCATTCAAAGCGAAGATGAGAAGAGATAAAGTTGGATTCTTGCATCTCGGAGTCACTGCGAAAATGTGCCGCAGGTTTGAATGTATAAGATGTATGCTTCCTGGGAGCGCCAAAGTCTATGTGGCCGTAAACAGGGTCCGAAGATTGGCGGCGAATTGAACTCGGTCAGAACAAATACGTCGATGTGTCATAGAAGAGGCCAGTGGATGGATGGGGACGGGGAAACCAGTGGCTGTTGGATCGTTGGTGAAGGCTCACTGCCCGAGGTGGGCGTAGCCGGCGAGGCATGTGGCACTGGCGGAGCACTGGGAGCACACGACCGGCGTGTCGAACTGAAATGATTCCTATCGATGCTTTCTGAACAACGGGATTCGAAACATCTCGATTGCAGACCGAGACATTCAGCGAATGGAGGCACGATGCCGCGGGACGATGCGGGGGCCTCGGGATAACCCGGAGATCACACCCCATAAAAAGGAGTGTGACTCGAAACTCCTTTTTTCTTTACACAGCAGACACAAGGCTGCGACGCTCGTTCCGCACAGGACTTTTCAGTTCTTCCTCACGAGCGGGCCAAGGTCTGAGTATTCCAGTCCCCCTCGATTGGCCCCAGCGGGGCCCGACTTTAATTGTCGAGCGGCGTATCAGAAAACCATCTGTTCTTTTATCGTCTCAAAGATCTTCTTCTGAAGGGAGAGCATGGAGATTCGGATTTGGAACTCGTCGCGGGGATTGGGCGGTGCTTTCTGCTCGCTCTTCATGTTTTTCTATCGGCGCCCAAGGTGTTCTCTTCGGAGAATGCAGGGAGGGGCTCTGAGCGTACCCACGTTCAGTCAGCCTCTCCTCATCGTTCACGATCTTGTGTAATGCCGCATGGAGTCTTCTCGCCGGAATGCGCCTATCAAGGCTGCTCCCTGTCCACGTACGAATACGATGGGTCGCAAATTCCTCAACACCTCGACGCCTCAAAATCGGCATGTACACGACACTGGGCACGCTTTACTGAACCCTACACGCGGTCACACGTCCCTTCGTAGTCTGTACCTTGGTCTGGATGCCCCGCAACGGGACAGGTTCAGAGGGGCTCCTTGCGGTCGTTCGGCGTACGAGGGGAAACATGGATTCCGTGGGCGCGTAAAGTGCACCGTCCTTCAGTGCACTTCGCAGCACATGCTTCTCGACCCGTCTCGCGAACGGGGAGAGGGTGTGTAACTCGATTCAGACTACTCTATGTCTGCTGTGCTCCAATTTTTTCCACTTTCCTCTCTTCGGAGAGTCCGTCAAGCTCGCTCCAAGTTCCTAGTCCATGGTACGTCCCACTTCCCTTTACATCGTTGTCGGGCCTGATTCGTTTCATCCAGGCGTTGGCAATGTATCTTGGTCGTTGCTGTGTACTGTAGTCGTGTAGTCGCTAAATAGTAAAGATATGATTGAATTGAATTTGTGAGATCGGTCCGACATCCGTACATCGTCAAGTGACTGCATCCTGCTTTCATGGCGAACAAACTGAACGTCGATGGGATTCTACTGTTCGAGCAGCCATTTGCCAGGGTATGTTTCTGAGGTCGTTGAACCCCCACACCCCTCATTCTCGCTGTCCAGGTTCCGTACGAAAATTACCGCAAAGTATTCCGCACGACACAGCGGAACGTCGAGCGCGACCTGAAGGCCGTTCAGGCGACGGCAAACGAGCTCGTGAAGCAATCCTCCTCCGGCGACGTCAGCTCTGAATCGGCCATCCAATCCATTGACGCTATGATCATTACAGTGGAGAATCTTAAACGCAAGGTGGTGGCGGTCGTGTGCTCTCGTCCCGGCTCACTAATTCGAGCCACATACAGCTGTCTGAACTGCACGATACCGCCGGGAAGCCTACGCAGGATGTGATCCGTGAGCGGCTACAGCATTTAGCTACAATTGAGAACATTCCGACGGCGAACGACCCCGAGTTTGGGCGGTGGGCGGATACGAGGCTGGATCGGTGGCTGGTGGACTGGGCGCTGCGGAATGGAAAGGAGAAGACGGCGAGGATGATCGCGAAAGAGAAGCACATCGAGGTGCGCCCGTTAACGTCCTTCACGCGGATCTTGCTCACATACTTTTCAGACATTGGTCGACATAGATCTCTTCAGCGACATTAAGCGGATAGAGGGAGCTCTCGCACGGCATAGCTGTACAGAGGCCCTTGCATGGTGTAGCGAAAACAAGAGTGCGCTTCGCAAGATGAAGGTATGAATACTGATTGCACATGTTCTTCACCTTGCTGATAACATTCTAGAGCACCCTCGAGTTTGACCTTCGACTGCAAGAATACATCGAGCTTATCCGGGCTTACAAATTCCAGGAAGCCATTGAATACTCGAAAAAACATCTGGTTTCGTGGCAGGAAACCCACCTGGAACAGATTCACCTGGCCGTAGCTTTACTGGCCTTTCCACCCAGTACAGCATGCGTGAGATACAAGGTACATCTCTTCGCGAGCCCCTGTATGCCCCTTGTTCATCCAATGACTTTCAGCGACTGTATGACATATCTCGATGGACCGCCCTCGTCCAATCATTCCGCCAAGCTATATACTCCCTAAACACCCTTCCGGCCGAGCCCCTCTTGCACTTAAGCCTCTACGCCGGATTAGCGTCCTTGAAGCTCCCGGCCTGTTATTCACACTCGATGAAGAACGTCGACTGTCCTGTATGCGACGGCGAGGCTGGATCAGGCTCGCAAGGTCTCGGACTCGGTAAACTTGCGGAAGAAGTACCGTTCAGCCACCACGTCAACTCGACCATTGTATGTTCTATCACTGGAAAAATTATGGACGCCGATAATATGCCTTTGGCGTTCCCTGATACTGGGTATGTTTATTCAAGGGAGGTGCGTATCCATCCTACCACATCGCTTCCACAGATCGCTGATGGTTTTCGGGATCCAGGCGATGGAAGAGATGGCTTTGAGAAACAATGGAATGGTGACATGTCCTCGCAGCAGGGCGACGTGCCAACTTTCGGATTTGCGGCGAGTTTACATATCATAGTTTCTAGCAGCAATTTTTTTTTTTTTTTTTTGTAATCTGTACACATCTTGTATCCAATGCTTTAGCTCGATAATACTTGCGGCCGCTCTTGTGGAACGGTGGGAGCGATTTCTAGCCAAAATAGGTCCAAAAGGGGCGACGTCTACGCGCAATAATAATCTTCCCGGAAAACGCGACGGCAGGCTTTCATTAATCTTTCGGCGCGGCACGGCGACCAGGCCTTTGTGCTGTAGCTACAGATCCGGCATATTCCGAAGGTGACATGGTTGGGCTGCCAAGTTATCCTGTAGTTTGATATTACCAGTTTACATTACGATTACAGCTATTCTGCTACGGCCTCCCTGCGTTGTCTCCGCCAAGCCATAAATTCCCTTGCTGCTGCCGCCATCAACGGGATCACGGCACTCGCGAACAAGGGAGTGTACACGGCATATTTATGCTCGGCCGGAAAATACAGGAGCGCCAGCATCCCGGGATTGAAAAATGCGCGAGACGCAAGAGTGAGGGCGTCAGCCGACTGGTGGAGCGTTTCGTTCAACGACGTAGAAGCCGATGCGTACATCTAAAGCAGTAGCATTGTTAGTCCCGGGCTCTGAGGAAGTTCGACCAATAAATAAACCTGATCGAGGGCGGTAAGCGAGTGTTGCACGTCGCCTTTGACGTCCTGTCCGACAGGC